GAATTGCAACGTTTCCATACATTTCAAACTTGCAAATTTGCATCGTATTTCATCGTGAGAACTTAGATAATTTTCGTAACAAGATAAGCCGATTGGTGTTTCGCGGCTAAAAGATATAACAAGACCGCCTGGCCGTGTTGTTACACCGTCACTAGTGACAAGCTAGGAGCCCCTTTGATGTTATTTTAGATGCGAAGATGGCAACAAGTTTCCTTTACGGCTAAACACATCATTAACGCGAAGCAATAGTTGTCAACTATACCAGAAATATACCTTTACGTATCCCGCTACTTGTGAAGCACTTGAATGATTTAAGTTTTGTTGAGGATACAATTTAAAGCTAGTCATAGCATACAGCGCCAGTGCTTCAGTAGCAGGAGCGAATAGACGTACCTACAGTGTTTATATAACAATAACTTATGATCGCTACTTTGTCCCCTTTGATTTAATCGCCTAATGGAAATGAAAACTTAAATGCCCCTTATTCATTAGTAATATTCATTCATGTAAACCTTGCGATATATCGAAATGAGCATACCTGTACATTCAAGTTAAAATCCTTGTTTTTAAACTTTATAATTTTCATTAAAATCCAAGCAGTAATTTCGAACACAATGCGACAAACTTAATTTTAAAAGTCACAAACTAAGCCAAGCAGGTAATACGGGTACTAGGTAATTGATAAACATACTTTTGTTATGTAAATAAACACATATTATAGATATATAAACACCCCCTACCCTAGAAAAACACAATGTTCTTCACACAATATTTTTTCAGAAGTGGTATTCTGAAATCAAAAGCAGATCACTTCAACTGGGCGGTGGTAATCACTTAACATCAGGTGAATCGCTCGCTCGCTTACTGTTGGTGATGTTAAGGGTGATATTGCCTATTTGGTTATGGCTCAATAAAAAATACGTGTTGGCGCTTTGAGAGTTTATTTGTGACCGACTTAATACATATTGCATACACAAATATAGATATAATTACGTTAGTTATAATTACGTTAGTTATTATAAAGTTACTATGCGCTTAGACACTTACCAACTACTCAAAATAAAGAAGGTCCGACATTAACACGAATTTTCAGAGGGCTAAATATATGACACCAATTTACATTTTATTTTACAAGCTCTAATTGAATATTCTGAGTATGAACGTGACATCTCAATGAACGTGTAACGGAACGTAAATCAAACGGAATAGGAAACGTTGACACGCTGCTTTATGTTTGTTTGTCTGCTTCTATCGCACCACGGTGTCCCAGTAGTTACGTGGGTCGGAACAGTGGCAAGGTCTGAATTCGAACTTCTATTTTCGTCGCTTGTAATAAAGTACTAGCTATACAGTTTTTATGTTCGTTGAACCGTCGAAGAATTAGAATACGTTCCATCGTTTATAATAAAATAAAAACCAGATCTTTTAAATACGTACAACTTAATCCTTATTACACCACATCATATATAATATATGAGCCGTGATAGCTATGAGCCGTGATAGCTCAGTGTCCGGGCGCTCGCCTTTAATTCAATATACTCGATCAACCTGAGTTCGATCCCCGTTGCCGGCACCAATGAAATTGTTAAGTCCAGTGTTATTTTAAGTCCCGAATTATCACGTGCTCCGCGGTGAAGGAAAACATCGTGCGGAAACCTGCATATTTTCGAAATAATAACAAAAAAAAATATTTCGAAGATATGTGAAGTCCGCCAATCCGCAGTGGGGCCGCGTGGTGGACTATGCCCTGATACCCTCTGTATAGAGGAAGCTATGCCCAGCAGTGGGATATGTATAGGCTGTTACTTTACTTTACTTTTATATATAATATATATTGTGGAGATCAAGAAATCTCGTCTTAATGAGCATTAACTTTATAAATTATCAGACGTCAATTTAGCAATTAACTAACACAAGAAACGAAATGAAATGAATATTAGTAATTATTTTAATGACAACACACCCTCTGCAAATGAATTGATCGCACCAAGCTCTTTCAAGTGGACGTTGATATATTGTAAACATATTTCTTTGACAAATAATGGTAAAAAAATTGTTCCGTTGAGTTTCATTCGCCGGTTCTTCTCAGGTCAGTGGCTTTTTTTCCCAAACCGGTAATAGTATTTTGACAATCAAGAATATAAGTGTAATCGGAATATCTCGACGACGCCAATGTGTGGAGTTAATACTGTTGATACTCACGTAGGCTAGAATAAGACTATTATACCTGTATATTATATTGTACCCTGATATTTTTGAAAAAGAGCAACTGTTGAGTTTCTTGCCGGTCTCTTCTCAACAGAAGCCGCTTTCCGAACCGGTGGTACCTTACGAACCTATACACATAATCTTTGATGTAAAATTTGACGATTCATAAGAGCGCGCAAGCGTCTATTTGAATAAATATATTTTGATTTTGTTTTTATTTTGAATAGCATTACACTTACATTAAACATTACACTTATAGTGTAAAGATATTTGAATTTAATTTGAATGAAGGAAGATTTGCGAATTTCGTCTCAGAATTAGTATACAGACTTCGAAACTAAGAAAGCGAGAAAATAAATAGTTTCTCAGTTAGAAGCGATATGAAGAACAAGAAAACGCCAGAAGGGTTAAGAGCTAAATCTCAAAATTATGTTCATAATGGCAAACTAATAAACCTTCGTGTGACTGACACAGATCAGGTATAAATAAACCATGTGTAAGCCACATTTAAAATAACGGGTGCTATGACCATTCGCTGGTCGTTTAAGTGGATTCCCGGGAAGCGGTCCTTTCAGACTCACGAGATGGGATGCAACCTGTTGCCATTGCCCGGAATAGCAATTTTGTTGTTCGAATATAAACCGTACCATCTAATTATGTAAAAAATTACTTTCCGTATATTTGTGCCCACAAAACTCAATAATAAGGCGATGGATAGACTTGATTATTTGGTCACAACACAGCTATTGAACATGAGACAGCTATTATACACTTTTTATTCCATTTTTTTTAAATCATTGCCCTTACTTTATGACAACATTATCCTGTGTTGTAAGGACGTTTTACAAACATAAATTTCACGCGGAAAAACACCAAGATGCGAAAAAACTATCTGTGGGTCACACAAATAGTTGTCCCGTGTGGGAATCGAACCCACGACCCCCGACGCCGAAGCCAATACCTTGGCAACTGCGCCACGGAGTGATAAAAGACAATAAAAAGCCACAGCGACGCGCGGCTGGGTTCAGCTAGTGATTAATAAATTTTAAACATCTTTGGCGCCTAATAATAATATGTATGTGATGTATTTTTTATAAATTTTATTTTGTCCCAATTCTACCGGTTCTTTTTTTCATTTTTAAAACTTACATAAACTTCTCTCCTCTACATAAAACTTACGTATAGTAATTTAAATTTTTTAAAGAATCGTAATGGTGTGTATATGTTGGTGCACCTGAATAAATAAAATAATGGGTACGAATAATCTATTCATACACATTTCAAGTTCTCTCGAGAAGCTATTCGGATTCCGATTTGAAACTACCTACTATTGAAGCAAACAATAAACGGTTCGTGTCGCATTCGAAACTTTTCAATTAAAAAACGATTACTAGAATAATGTTAAATGGAGTTTCTTACGTTAGCAGAACGGTAAATCTAAAGCGGCGTTACGTGTGACGTCATCGGAACGTTCGAATTTCGAACTGACGCACGCTTTGAACCTCTCAAAAGTAATGAAACTGGACAAGAGCATTTGTTATATTAATAACCCTAATGAAAGAAAATGCCTTCCGCGCCCGGCTAAGCACACGTCCTGTCTACGCTATTTTTAGTTATTATCGAATTATAATTAATGTATTAACAAGCCAATGAATGTACTGAATAGCTGTCCACGTCAAGCAACGGAAGAATAGAATCATAGCGTTGGTAAGGTGCTAAAACATATTGGAGCTTGTTATATGTGAACCCTCATACACCAACCTATATGTTCCAATGCATATTTTTAAATTTTTATGACTAATTCACTAATGTTAGCGAGGTATGGCAACTCGCGCGAACCGACATAACTTATAATTAGCCAATAAAAATTGCGGGAAATAAATGAGACTAAAAAAAAAAACAATCACCTGGAGTGCACTCCTTTGAACGAATCATACATTTTCGTGAAATACCGATGTCAATCAAGCTAATCTTATCGCTCTTTCATCATATTGTTACGATAAATGTTTTAACAGTGACTAGAACAAACTACATACATAATTTGTAAATGCCCTATTTCAAGTATTTCGCATTTCAATTACCGTTCGGTAAATTAGACAACAATTTTAACACTGTGGATAGTAAAACTTAAGTTATTACATATTTTTACTAGTCATAATAATTACGATTCAACAGTCATAATTAATTATTTTAAGTTGCGGTTACGTTTTCTGCATATGCAATATACGTATTTCTTTCATTTTTGCCTTGACGTATTGAAAAGATTTAACACCAAGTAAGTTAAATATGAAGTAAACAAATAAAATGTAACAACTATTACACTGAAACTGTCAGGCGTGAAGAGAAGTAAACAAAATGCTTGTTACTCAACAAAAACTAGAATGTTGAAACAGAATTTACAATTGAAATGGAATAACAAACATTCTTCACGAGTATTGTTTATAACTTTTAATATAATTCAGGAAAACATACAACCGATTCACTTTTTTCTTTTATTCATCAATTTTATTTGTATAAATTTGTTTTATTCTTTTACAACTTGTTCAAAACCACTATTCAAATGAATTGAGTACGAATCAGCGTTTTTAAGTAAATCAGTGCTCAGTCAGTGAAATAGAAACCGGTTAATTACAATTGATATTAAAATAGCAAATAACAAATTTATGACTTGACTCAATACAACTAGAGATCGTTTTTCAACAACGACGCCTGCCAACCAGACCAGTTCGTGCGGAAGAACGTTTTTCCTTTGTTACAGACTATATAAAACAATTAAGGTATTAAGGACTTACCTCAAGTTTTTTAGAGTACTCCTCGGAGATGCGGTCCTGTTCCTTCTTCAACTCCTCATTCTTCTCCAGAAGCGCCTTCCCTAGCTCCGCAGCAAGAAGCAGATCAGACTCCTTCTGCTGTAGTTGACTCCACACGTCTTGCTCCGCACCCGCGTCCATTGTTTCCCTCGTTGTAGACATCTCTTTCACGTAATCCTCTAAATCCTCATAAAAATGCGCGTCCGACAAACTAAGCACCGACGGCGTAATTCTGCTACCACTGACACTCCTGCTTCTCCTACTTCTAGACCTGAGCGGGGTCGAAGTTCTTCTGTTACCTTTACCAACGAACTGTGCCTCGTCGGTGATGAAATTGGGCGATTTACAATCGGGCGGCTCTATCTCAGTGTAAGCGGGATTTCTACTACTTCTACTTATATTTACACTAGATTCACCGGCCATTTAAATCTATAAAACGTTACGACAATTCAACTCTGCACTATTTTCGTGTAGTTGTTCTTCTTGAAAAGCTTCTCCAACGCCTGTTGTATTTTAACGGGTTTGGGCAGTTTGACGTTTTTGAAAATGCTCGTCGGAATGTCGAAATCCTTCTTTAATGCCATCATAGAATCTGTGCGAATTCACAGGCGTAACATTTCCGTGTCACCGGCACTGCACTGAACACGCACTCGCGTCACGAACGAACCGTACGGTTGTTGCCTCGACGACGGTACGAACACAACAAACCGATGTACAACCTGCGAGGTGGAACGAGGCTTAGCGATCAAAGATTATAAAAGCAGCAAGGGTGACGGTAGGCACTAAATCGATTCAGCGCGTTATTATAATTTATTATAATACATTTACAATTTAATTATTATTTATCATGCATTTATTAAATGATGTTATTACCTACATAATGGATAATAGTTAAATAATTACAAATATTATAAGCTGAAATAAATTTATGTAATTATCATTTCGCTTTATAAAACGACTATACAATGAATGTGTAATTTAAAATAAGATCAACTCAATAAGTAGTTTGTTCTAATACAAGTTATCAGTAGCATAAGAAAAAGTACAAGGTTTCATAAAACTATTAGCGTTATAAAAAAATCTTGAAATACCATTCCGTTTTCTCACACACCCATTTCCCCAGTATTATTCAAAATTGAAAATACTAACGCCCGGTTTTTGAAACACTGATCGTAGATGTTAACCAATCAGCTGTCAAATGGCTTTTCAAACGTAATTTGAGTTTCCAAAAGGATGGTTAAACTATTTTAATTGATAATTCTGATCAATTTAGAGAGTTAGAAAAGCCATTTGACACCTGATTATTTAACATCTACGATGATCAGTGAAACCGGGCGTAAGTAACGTTTTATAATTTGACAAATAGAAAATAATTAATATTCAACACTCCTACAAGTAGGCAGAATATCATAACTACATTAAGTTTTTTTCTTTAAAGAAAGAAACTACACGTCTACTTAATGTTTGCCACTGGCCAACACGTGTGTTAAGTGAAATAGCAATAACAAGTAGTTGCAAAAGCTGTACGCTAGACAGAGACAACTACAGTCGACCAACCAAGGTAATACTGGAGAGTGGCAGACAGGCCGAAAAAGTCGAAACATTTATTTTTATTATTGTTGACTAGGAAATGATCTCATAGTGATCCAATAAAATGCAGCATTTAGATCAAAAATGGTGCAAAAAATGGACCTTGGTTTTATTTGAAGTCAACGAGTTATTTGGCAACCGAACATTGAATTCACACTGAATTGTACTTATTTTTTTTTTACACTAGATTTCTTGTCCGAATGCCATCATTGTAAAAATCATCGTGTTTTTCACTTTCTAGATCACATTTTGTGTTGCTTTTCCCTGATGAATAACTAGGCTGATTTAACAATGCTCATTGTCCGGGCGCTCGCCTTTAATTCAATATACTCGAGCAACCTGAGTTCGATCCCGGTGCCGGCACCAATGAAGTTTTTAACTTTAAGTGCTGACTTATCACGTGCTCCGCGGTGAAGGAAAACATCGTGAGGAAACCTGGATATTTTCGAAATAATAACAAAAAAAATATATTTCGAAGATATGTGAAGTCCGCCAACCCGCAGTGGGGCCGCGTGGTGGACTATGCCCTGATACCCTCTCTATAGAGGAGGCCTTTGCCCAGCAGTGGGACATGTATAGGCTGTTACTTTACTTTACTTTTTACCTAAGTAAAAATTTGTTCTTATTTGAAAGCTTGTTCCTAGATCAGAAATCTGTACTAACTACCAACTAGGAAATTAATTTCTGAAGGAAGGATGTCTTACGACTACACTCCATAGACGAAGATTAGAATTTATGTAGGTTAATAATGCTAACCTTATTAAAAAAAACTGAACAGCTAAATGGACGGTTTTAAAGATAGTCACTTTGGGCTTTCTATGTGTATACATTTTTTTAAATTAAATTCCAGACATTAATAATGTTATATAAAAAATGATAAATATTTAAAATCACTCTTAAGTAGTTAATTAAATTAATTTGAACTTATCTCAAAAAGTGCGTGATTTATACGCAACTCATTTATTTTACGCGCGATCATTCATAACTAACACGCACACAAGTTCGTGCACAGTAAAATTTAGGTATTTATGAATGACTACCGCATTGTCAACACGTTCTGTTTTTTAGGGAATAGAATGGCATTTTTTTAGAAAAAAAACTTTACTTTTTATTTCAATAAACGATTATACTACCGAGTCTGAACCTCCTGTGTAAATTTGGGCACTTCTCAAAAATCTCTCTGTATAACCTCATAAATAGAATAAGATGGATGCGTTTTTCAAACACAAACGAATGATTTCCTTGTTTTACATAAAGACTACACAATGTTCAATAAAACTATTTACGGATACTTACACATTGAAAGGGTTGATTTGAGTAAATAAATTAAAAGTTGACTTTAGCTGGGTCTTACAATACAATTTTAGACGAACGACATCCTAGTCTTTCCCTAGACAATGGAGCCCGTAAAGAGTTTGAAACTTCGGGAATCACTACATAGTATAAAATAAATTGGTTCCGCGTTATGTCTGTCCCTAGGTATGCTTAGATCTTTAAAACTACGCAACGGATCTTGATGCGGTTTTTTTTACTAGACAGAGTGATTCAAGAGGAAGGTTTATATCTATAGTACATTGTACCCGTGCGAAGCCGGGACGGGTTGCTATTTAAAATATAAATTAAACACGAAAAAACCGAAATTAACGGGTTGCAGGTTGGTTTCACGGACGGAACAACATTAAGGTATTACTTAGTTTGCGAGGTATCAAGGTTATACGGAGGGGTAAAAAATCAAAATGCTTTTCGTTTTCATTTACGTGTGTATTAATTTATTATTACTTTTCTTCCATTGAGTCCGCTTGATTTTTGTGTTTATTTATAAACACCGAAGCAGACATGTCCAAGTTGGGCTGTATTTGCAATATCGTCAATAGTTAAACTGAGGAAGCAGAGTGCTGTGGGCTTGACAGAATCAATTGACCGGTTGCCATGTCTTTGGGAACGCGGGACAATATTAAGTCGGGACTGTCCACCCATAATCGAGGCGTGTGGCAGCCCTGCAGTCAATGCACTAGTTGTTTGTTTATTTGAAACGCTTACACAACACTGTAGACATTACCAGTCGTCTGGGCAAAGTCATTAAGAAAGTCTTGTGCAAATTTAGTGCTCCCTATCGACATCAAAGCCTTAGCTGTGAGCATTATCAGTAATTGCTTACTTATTGCGTATACTTATGCGATAAATACAAGTTCATGCGAAAACAAATACAATAAAAATGGTTCACTATCAAAATTATGATTATATGATATTACAATATTAGAAATTATAAGTGACACCATTATAAATAAAATAAAGCATAAAAATGTCGATAGATAGATAGAGAGCCGTGATAGCTCAGTGTCCGGCCGCTCGCTTTTAATTTAATATACTCGAGCAACTTAAGTTCGATCCCGGTGCCAGCACCAATGAAATTGTCAATTTTAAGTGCTGAATTATCACGTGATCAGCGGTGAAGGAAAACGTCGCGAGGAAACTGCATGTTTTCGAAATAATAACAAAAAAAAATATTTCGAAGATATGTGAAGTTCGCCAATCCGCAGTGGGGCTGCGTATAGAGGAGGCCTTTGCCCAGCTGTGGGACATGTATAGGCTGATACTTTACTTTTTTTTAATTTCACTGATATAATAAAAAATACTGGTAATGGTTTGACAAAAAATGAATTCGCACCGGTGCAATGTATTATACATATAAACCTTCCTCGTGAATATCTATCTAGTAAAAAAAATCGAATCAAGATCCGTTGCGCAGTTTTTTTTTTCTTTTTTTCTTTCTCTTTTAAAAACATTGCCCTTACTATAGGATAAATTTATCCTGTGTTGCAAGGACGTTTTACAAACATAAATTTCACGCGGACAAACACCCAGATGCGAAACAACTATCTGTGGGTCACACAAATAGTTGTCCCGTGTGGGGATCGAACCCACGACCCCCGACGCCGAAGCCAATACCTTGGCAACTGCGCCGCGGAGTCATCAAAATCAAAATCAGTTTTAAAGATCTAAGCATACATAGGGACAGACAGACAGCGGGACGACTCTATTTAATACTATGTACTTAAGACGTAGTATTTTTTTGATCCACCTAAAACTGTCGCGATATATATATATATAAATCAGTCTTTCTGTCTTAATGTTACACCTTCAGCCTACTAGACGCAGACGTAGTCGCGGGCAGCAGCTAGTGGTGAATAAATCCACAGTGGGGTCGCGTGGAGGACTATGCCCTAATACCCTCCGTACAGAGGAGGCACGGCAATGGGATATATAGTAGGCTGTTACTATTACTACTAAGAAAAATATCGTGCTAGCATTTACTAAGAAGAATAATAGAACACCCTAAGTACGATGCGACTTTAAATAAGACCACCAATCGCAGTTGCTTGGATACCATATTGATTACTCAAACGACGAAATCGCTGAGTTGCATACAGCCACTTGGACTTTATAAAGTGCAACTGTTATAATATAACAGTGATAATTTTACATTGGTTACATCTTTAAGGACATAATAAAATGTCGGCTCCTAACGACGACATGGAAATGGAGAAGATTGCCGAAGACGAGCTGTTCAAATTGCAGAGACAGGTTGGTCTTTTAAAGTTATTATAACCACACTCGGAGATGTCAGCGACTGCTTAACTTGCATTAAGCAATGGTATTATATACAAATAAAAAATTGACATTTTGACACCGTTGACGTTAAAGTAAATTCACGCGTCAAACTGTTTTTTATGTGAGAAGTTTGGCGGTAAAGCAGATGTGCGGTGATTAAATATAATTATTACATATAAAAAATTCAGTGTTCAATGATAAAAGTCGTAGCCTTTTCGTCCTAAGCATCTGTAACCCTACGGGTATTTCAAATCTCAATGGGCAGCAGTTTTCACTTAACACCAGGCTAACCGCCATCTCGCTCGCCACATAAGAAAAATTCATGGATTGTTTTCTTAACTCGTTATAGTCGCCATAAAAAATTGATGCATCGTTTCACTATCAACTCGTCATTGTTGCATGTAAACTTTTTGAGTCAGCCCTCTTCGTAACGTTAAAATTGTGGCCGTTTCTTTGTGCACATTTGTCAGTACCGCGTGATGGAGGTCGACCGGGCGACGGTGACGAACAGCGTGCAGCCGACGCTGAGGATGCAGAGGAACATCATCAGGACCCTAAGCGCTGAGCTGGAGAAGGTCATGCTCGAGCTGAAGGTTGGAACGCCGCATTTGAACCTAACGCTGTGGCCAAAGACAGTCAATGCTCTCAAATACTCCTAAAAACAATACTTTAAAAACCATCAAGTTATCTGCCTGATACTGTACATAAGATGAGACACATTACCGTATAATAAATAAAAAATTGTAATGGAACCACAACTAAGACGTCCCAATAAGTAACAAGAAAATTAATTAAGTGACTTTCCAATCTTTAAAACTGAATATGAGAAGTTTGTCTTGGCAAAAAAGGGAAATAATTGGTTCTTATAGGCGTTTAGTTTCACAGGCAAATAGTCCGTCGATGATACGGATGTCAGAAAAAATTAAAGGTCACGATTTCAGTTGAGTCTCTTGCAATAAGTATCTTATTAAAAATCTTACGTTATTTATTTGCTTCATTTAGTATTTTTCATTTAGACCTAATTGTTAAAATTTCAACATACCTGCAAGAACCATAATTAATTTTTATGGATTAAAATCAAATGTTAATGATTCCATACGAGAGACCACTAAACAAAAAAGAAAAATAATTAAGTGTTCTCTAAATTATAGTTAGTAAGAAGAACAGTAATAGCATACCTACTAGAATGTATTAAAAAAGTAACGAAAAAAGAAATATTGTTCATGTCATTACTTGACATTCTTATTAAAATATCATATTTATATTTACTTTGGCCGATAGCTTACGAGCAGTACTTCGAACGTGTTGGAGAACGCTAGAACTAGGGAGAGGCTCATCACGCTCCTGAAGGAACACGAAAGATGTTCCGCCGAGGTGCGGGAACACCGCACGAACATCAGCGAGCTGGACTTCCTCCTTAGGCAGGTGCAGAAGGAGATCAAGGCGCTCAAATCCAAAGGAACGGGCTTCGAAAAGGTCTGCCATCGGAGTAATTTTGACTCCCTGTTCGGAAACCATGCAATCTTAGTTGAGACCAAATAACCTTCACCAAAAATTTTTCTTTCATCTTTATCTCGTTAATAAATTTGGAGCGTTTGGATTGATATAGATTTTTCTTTATAAAAAAAAAGTAAAGTAAAATATTAGCCTATACATATCCCACTGCTGGGCAAAGGCCTGCTCTGTACAGAGGGTATCAGGGCCTAGTCCAACACGCGGCCCCACTGCGGATTGGCGGACTTCACATATCTTCGAAATATTATTTTTTTGTTATCATTTCGAAAATATGCAGGTTTCTGAGCACGCTGAGCACGCGATAATAAATGTCTTTATAATGCTATAAAAATTTCCTTTTTCTGAGGTTCTATATACATACATAAATCACCGACCGATCATTTGAACAAATCCAAAATGGACCATTCAAGGATTACGCGAACAGCATGACGACCCAAAGTGTGGTGGTGCAACTGGAGAATCGACTGGACACCGCAATGAAGAAGTTCAACACGGTGAACAGCGACAACTTCAAGCTGAGGCTCGAGATAGACTGTCTGCTTCGCGATCGGTGAGAGGCTTAAACGGACTTTAGCCGATACGAGTAAATGGTAAATGCTTGACCGTCAGTGAGAGCCATCCTTAGTGTAACCGGGGTCCACTATTTTAAGGGTCGGCTACGTTCTTCTTTCTGCCTGTATGATTATTCTTTGTCCAACCTTCTTCAAAGCATCTGCTTTTACCCTAATAGGCTTAACCAGGGATGTACCATAAGCCTCTTCGAAGGCCAGTGTAAATTAAAAGTATTTATGCTTTTATCTGTCTGAGGTAACAGAAAATTCTTCAACACGACCTGGCGTAACCAAATCAAGAGACTGTTTTCTAAAAGCTGATAATAATCTATTAGCTGGAAAATTTCTAAAAGCCGATACCGTCATTGAACTCTTTGCTAGATGCTACTGTACTGTGCTAATCGTTTAGTCATATGAAATCGGTATTGCAGTTAAAAAGCGGAGTTTACAATCACATGCGTTAGTAACCGGATCTCCAATTACTAAAATAAAACAGGCAATTCTTCAACACGACCTGGCGTAACCAGATCAAGAGGCTAATGGAGGGCAAAGCCCAAATCCTGGAGCTGGTGGAGCAGGCGATAGGGACTTACGAACAGCGCGAGGAGTGGTGCGCGAAGCTGGACGCGTTGAGGGAGAAAGCCGCCCTCGACTACAGGAAGCATTGTCTCGTAAGGAAATTCTTGCTCATAATCATTGACGGCCGGTTTCAATATTCTATCTACAGATAGATGTGGTTATTGTAGATTGATATTTGCTTCATAATACTTACTGCAAAATTCCTAACCTTAAATGAAGTCTCTCCTTCTAACAGTACCGATGCTTTATCCCCTTTAAATTCATTCAACCAATTCATTTGCTTTCCTTTATACCTTTATATATGAACTTTACGTTACAGTTTTATACGTATATATATTCTAAAATCATTTGTTTTGGATAATTTAATAGCTCGGTAAATATTTAAAGAGAGTTAATGTCTAATACAATTTAAAAAACTTATTTAAGGTCGCTGTAGTAGCGCCACGTTGTATATGTACATAAATATAAAAGATGAAATGTGACGATAAAGATATAATGGGTCATGTGGCCAGCTTGCTCCTTGCCCCCTACATAGATAGAACTTTACTGAGGACTTTCTTTTACTTTCTCTTCTGGCCACGGTCAGGAAGTGAGGGAGCTTCAGCGCCAGCTCGAGCACAGCATGAAGCTCGAGGAGTTCCTGCGCACGAAGGGCACCGTCCGCCTGACGGCCGCTGATGCCAGGGCCGAAGCGAGAAGGCTGCAACAACAGGAGCAGGAGATGCGCTCCTACAGCCGCCACGCCAACGTTTTGGAGGCGATCAAGGCGAGTCGGTTGCTCAAGTGGAACTGCTGTGCGCTAGTCGAAAAAATATCGATATTTTTTATAAAATATATCGATATTTGTAGCCGATTTATCGATATAAAGTATCCAATATCGAAATCGTTATAAAAACGATATTCTTTTCAAATTCGAATCCTAGACACGGTCCGTTCATTCAAATATTTGATACTTGGCATAGATACAATACATATCTATTAAATGAAACGGGCATGTCACGGGACACTATCTCCCGTGACCATGAACGCTGGAAAAGGTCGGAAACGTCGGGAATTAATAATCAAAATTAAAAAGAGATGTAATCCGTAAAATAGTTCCATTTAATATCATTTCAGGCTGTTAAGAGTCCACTGCTGAACGCAGGCCTCATTATATGAGATACGAGTAGATGAAATGAAAATGCCCTTCCTAGTTTTAAAACCGGTATAAAAAACTGTGTGTGGTCTATGGTGATCACTGACATCAGTTGAACCGTCTCCTATAAATGAACGACGCACTTACCAGGTGACCCGGCTTTCTCATTTGCCCCTTCTATAACAAGTCCATATTTCTATTGGCGATTCGTGCATCAGAACTGATGCGTGGCCCCTACCACTGTCCTAAAACGTCTATTATAAATGACCGGTTTCCATGTACCAGGAGTACACCGGGGAGCAGGAGTTGGAGCGGCTCACGCAGGAGTTCGCCCGCCGCGAGGAGGAGAACTACGCGTTGTTCAACTACGTGAACGAATTGCACGCGGAGCTGAAGGCTCTGGCGGACAACGTGGCGACGCTCGGGACCGCCATCGGTGATTGAAACGGAAACACCGGCCAAGTGCGAGTCGGACACGCGCGCGAGGTGTTCCGTACCGTTGTCTATGAAAACGGCAAAAATGGGAGCCCCACTTGAATGGTTTTTATTGTTCTTTTAGTATTTGTTGCTATGGCGGCAACAGAAATACATCATCTGTCTATCACGGTTCGCGAAATACAGCCTAGTGACAGACGGACGGACGGACGACAGACAGACAGACAGACAGACAAATATAAAGACAGGCAGCGGAGTGTTAGTAATAGAGGTAGGTTTCACCCTGGGGACGGAACCCTTAAAAATTGATTCAATGGTCCGATAGAAATTCTAATTAAAATAAATGTACTGAGTACAGTAAGTAGTTCTTACATACATTATTACTAATGTCGTTTATAGTAAAAATCAAAAGGTTTTTTATGTGAGAAGGCGGCTAGCAAACTGGCGGTTCACGTGATGTTTAGTTATAACCCCCTGCCCGTGAACGTGAAAATGAAATTGGGGGTATCCCGTAAAAACTGTGGTAGTGCCACGCAAGTCTTCATTGCTGTCTGCTGCACGAACGGGCACGTCCGTCCAGGGAAAAACGACGACCTCACAGAAGACCGGCGTGAAGCAGGAGCATCGTACTTCTGCGTTACGTCTGGTGAGTGAGGTTGCAGGGGCCCAATCAATTAAAAGGTGGCAATGCATCTTCAACCCTGCTAGTATCTTCTATATATCCCCCTGCTAGTATCTAATAGCTGCAAACGTACATGGGTGGCGTCCACTCAACTCGATGACTTCGTGGCGCAGTCGCCAACGTATCGGCTTCGGCGTCGGGGGTAGTGGGTTCGATTCCCACACGGGACCATTTGTGTGATAGTTGTTTCGCAACTGGGCGTTTCTCCGCATGTAATGTATGTTCGTAAATCGCCCTTACAACACAGCATAATGTTATGCTAAAGGTAAATGTGTTTAAAAATATAATAGAAAAAAAAAAACATCAGGTAAACTGCACGCTCCCCAGCCACCTTCTCACATAAAGCGACCTTCCCCCGTCGGTATCAGACGAGGAGCGAGCAAAGCACGAAGCCAAGATGTACAAGCAGCAGGACAATGTGGAGACGCTGCGAGCTGAGCTGCAAAGGCGCCAGCTCGAGGCGGAGTCCGCAGCCGCCGCCTGCAGCAGAAGCGGGGACTCCCTCGACAGTCTGCTGCGGAGAGTCCGGGAACTCGCCCAGTAAGGAACACTCGCATACTTTTACGACCCGAATGGCGTAGTGGGTAGTGTACCTGCCTCCTGCAGAGGGTGGGTTCGATCGCCACTACTGGAAAAATATTGTGTGATGAACATCGTTTTTCCAGTGTCTGGGTGTTCATATATGTATAATATGTATTTATTTACAAAAGAAAAGTATATTTAAGTATGTTTATCAGTTATGTAGTACCCATAGTACATGCGTTGCTTAGTTTGGGAGAGAACGTTGTGTAAAAAAATGTGTCCTAAAATATTTATTTATTTATTTTTATTATTTATTTATACTCGCTAAGGTTGACCGCTGACTTCTCCGCTGCAAATCAACGAATTAATTTTCCACCTATCACGAACTCGGGTCCTCTTTTAATCTAAGCTCGCGTCTCTGCTGCAGGCTGTACAAATGAAATAACCTCCAATCACGAGAGATTTAACGCCCGGTTTCTGAAACACTGATCATAGTAGATGTCAACTAATCAGCTGTCAAATGGCTTGTCAAATGTCATTAGACATGCCAAAAGGATGTCAAAAAAAAATTTTTTAAGTGAAAAGTTGCCAAGCGAGCAGACGATTCACCTGATGTTAAGTGAATACCGCCGCCCATGGTCATCTGCTAAACCCGAAGGTTTGTAGATTGATAATGTTGACAACCTTTTTGAAAATTGGGCTCCGGACACTTCACTCACCAGACGAAACGCGAAAGTATTATACTTCCACTTTACGCCGGTCTTCTGTGAGATAGTGGTACTTCCCCGGACGAGCCTGCCCATTCGTGCAACAGCCTACTGCGTGGCCCTACCACCGTAAAAATCGCAATGAGTGTACAAATTAGAGATTTTAGCGCCGCGAGGCGATAGTAAAGCGTCTTAACGCTTAAAGTTTTCTACCATTTATTTTTAAATAATCACATTGCACTGGGCTCTTGCGAGTTCCCTCACCAACTGACCAATCCTTTCATCGCGATGGAAAATCAAATTTCAATTTGTCATCGCCACGGAAACAAGAAGAAGATTGTAACCTTATTATTTAGTGAAGAATAGCACTAAATATAGAACTAATCACATATAATATAATACACAGCGGCGACAATCTTTTCATACTTTTTCTACATGTTTAATGTTCAATCTTAAGTGCAGAGATGAGCACTATAAAAAATTTTAAAATTTATAAAAGCACTGGTGACATCTCTCGTTCGAATTATCGTTGTAAAACGATATTCGAAATTGTTTGTATACTGGAAAGGATATAACAATAGATGCGCCAAGCATTGCTTCAAATGCTAAATAACAATGTATAAAGAAGGCGTTAATATTTTCGTCGCTGTGGCTATCAGCCGTTTAGCTCAGTGGCTAGAGCGTCAGGCCGCGAATGCCGAAGACGTGGGTTCGATTCCCACAGCGGCGACAATCTTTCCATACTTTTTCCACATGTTTTAATAATCACATATTAATGTAATCGAACGATATGACGTATCAGGTCGTCGGACTGCGACTCTCTGCCACTACTGAGGTTGCTCGGGAAGTCCTTCGACATAAACGTCACCAACGCACGCCTCTACATCAAGAGCTTGGAGAAGAGGATCGCCGAAATGGTCGACGCCATCAAAGCGGACGAGGTTTGTCGAAACGTCTGAACTAAACTTAAAATATTAAATACTTAAATAATAATTACTCGCATACTTACGCAAATATACAGTTGAGAATATACGAAGTGTCGTTACAACCGCGACAATAAATGAATATACATATAGAGGATAACTTTTTAAAATTGTATTAAGCATTAACATTCTTTAAACATCAATATTTACCGAGTTATTAAAGGGGTTCGAGGAGGATTTGGAGAGAAAGACCTGCAAAACAAACAATTTTAGAACACCCTTACGTATATATATAATAAAACTGTAACGTTAAGTTCATTTGTAAAGGTCACAAAGCATAGAATGGGTTGAATGAATTTAAAAGAGATAAAATATACTGTTAGAAGGAGAGATTTTTAATGCAACGCTGTGGCAATGAATGAAAAAGTCTCTGAATAAAAGAGATAAAATATACTGTTAGAAGGAGAGATTTTTAATGCAACGCTGTGGCAATGAATGAAAAAGTCTCTGAATGTATCAGACAGTATCAGAATGTATCAATCAGTCAGTTGTAGCTGTATAGGATGTTACAAATTTTGTTTCTTTTTTATTTAATTAATTTGTTTGAAAATTTGTCTTTTTAATTAAGGATTTTTTTAGTTTTTTATTTTTTTTATGATTATTGGCAAGTAGCGTTAGAAGTGTGTTAATTTAATGTCGCGGTTGTAACAACCCTCTGTATTTCAACGAATTGACCTTGGGTCTTACGGTTACAGGTTACCTTGGAAACTTACGGGGGTTCGTTTCAAACTCAACGTTTCTTATGAGTAGTATTCACGTATGGTCTTATTTGTATGACGCTAAGGTCTATTTTCGCGCAGGCGATGCAGCGGCACGCGGAGAGCAGGGAGCGCGCCACGCCGGCGGGTCGACGACCCCGCCGCGCCCCCCCCTCGCCCCGCCCGCCCCGGCCCCTGCACGCTCACGCTTAGCCGCTATCGGAACAATTAGGGCCTACACGCAGGTTTTTTAGGTCATTTTAACATTGTTTTTGAGACTAAAAAGATATAAAAAAAAATAGTTTCTTTTTTCTTTTACCACAAACCACTTTTGGGGTCAGCTTATATATCATTGAGTCAAATTGTACAACTAAAAGGAAAATAAACATTTTTATTAATATTCCCCCCATTTCCTATTCAAAGTGGAAACAGTCCACGATCGTTAAATTTCATTTAGTTGATGAATCGGATTCTCCAAATGAGAGTCTAATATATTAATTGTATAAAATAAATTCAGCGAACCACCAGCATTCGATCTATTCGACAATTTACCACTAAACAACTACCATGCTAATTTCATTGCCAGTGCAGTTTGTCCCTAAAAGTAAAATACAAGTTGTTCTAAAGGCTTTGTATTGTCTTACTAAATATATAAATATTGCTGGGAGATAATGCTTATGGCGTTAAGTCCGCCTTTGTACATAAATGTTTGAGCAGAAAGTTTAAATAAAATAAATAAATAATACTGTGCGGGCAGTTCATGCCAGTATTTTTACAAATTTTTATGAGCAGAGCACAGCAGATTTATTTGTTTTTGTTTTCATTTTTTTTAAGAGGAACCCTTTAAACAGAAGTAATCCCTTAGATAAATTATTGCTGTAAATAAAAAAGTCATCGCTATTAAAAAATGATTTACTCTTAAATTATTTATAATCACAGATTTAAGTCCTTTGTCGTACCTGAAACAAGTATTTTTAAGACAACTATTTTAATTTGTCAAGTTGGCTTGTCCGGGGAAGTACCACGACCTCACAGAAGACCGACGTGAAGTTGAAGAGTTACACTTCAGCGTTTCGTCGGTTAAAACTTTGTCAAAGGATGGTAACGCATCTGTCATTTGTCTGACGACGTCAAAACAAAGAGTAGTAAGAAAATGTTATGTCATACACGGTAACTGTAAAAATAGGAGAATTCACCTATCTTTACCGTAGATTGTAAGCAGGTTAATTGCATCTGCTTACAATCTAAAGTTTAGAAATTGTGTTTTTTTCGACCGACTTCACAATGGGAGTTTCTCAATTTGATATATTGTTATTTAAAGTTTGTTGCCTCAGAACTCCGTTATTTATGAGCAAATTTTAAAGTAAGTGGGTAAGTTAGTGTAGTGGTATTAATAATTAATTAATTTATATTGGACTATGTACTCCGCAAATATATCAGAGAACTACATCAAAATCGGTTGGTACAGTGAATGCCATTTGACCATTTGTTTTTCGGTAATAAAAATGTACATGTTGTGGTATTTAAAAAATATACTCCAGTGGAAAGTCAGTACTTTGTAGCGAACTCCGAATAGTAGATAAAATACGTCGAGAATTTCGTCGGTTTGGCAATCAGCCGTTTAGCTTAGTGGCTAAAGCGTTTGGGCGCGAGTGCCGAAGACCGTGGTTCAATTCCCGCGGCGGCGTAAATACGTACAAATTTTCGTCGATTACTCCTAAAAATTTTACCGCTATACAGAATACGACCCCTTTTTACTACATGAGAGACGGTGGCGAGCGATTCACCTGATGTTCCATTGCCACCATTTAATAAGGTGGGCCCCGGCTACCTAACTCACCGGACCATTCGTGCCACAGCGGAGACCGTCACATGATGCTGCACAATAAACGAACTGGAGAACGCGCCTCGGTCTACTCGGCCACCCGCACGGGCAGCCCCCGCGCCACCACGCTGCTCGCGATCAAGGCGAAGCCGGTGGCGGCGCGTGCGAGCGAGATGGCGCGAAGCAGGTCCCGCTCGCTCGCCGCTCGTGCCCCGCCCGCCCGATCCGCCGCCGCCTCTGCAATGGGCCGGCCGCTTATGACTTGTGCGGAAGAGAACACGCTTAACCGAACGCCCCATCTTCATCATCATAATTATATAAATAGTAATAAAATGAAGAATAACAATAATGCTCAAATATTATGTCAATGTGAAAGAGAAACAGTGTTGATTATTATTGCAGCGTTATCATGCCTCTATCAACTTTGTTTGGTACGAAATTATAATATACATATAATTTCAGCGATAGCACGTTCATTGCAAAAATTATCTATTCAAAATTGCTGGTTTTATATTCATTTATTACCTTAATTTATATTTTTACTTCTTCTTATTATTACTTTTTCTTTTTTTTTTTATTACGTTATCACCTAAAGCCGTTATGCTTGCTTCAGAGGTTATGTTCGTCTGACCGTTTATGGTCATACGTTCGTGTTTTTGTGTGAAAACTTGTCAAGTGAACGGACGTTACAATATCAGCCTATTGCCGTCCACTGCTGAACGTAAGCGTCCCCCAAAGTGCGCCAACTATCCCGGTCCTGGGCAGCCCGCATCCATCAACCCGCCTGCCAAGCGTGGTGACTAAGGCAGATTTCCCCTCAATGAAAACGGACGTTACACCTGATGTTAAGTGTATACCGCCGCCATCACATCTACATCCTAGGAATTGCAGATACGTTGCCAACCTTTAAAAAAATGTGAAACGCTAAAATATAATACCTCCATATCATGACGGTTTTTTTTTTGAATTTATATTCATTATGTATGCATAAATAGGTATGTAATACATATTATATATATATATATATATATATATATATATATATATATATATATATATATATATATACGGGTATATATACATATAGTGTACAATAAATAGTACGTGTAATATAATATATACGTGCAAGTATTTGTATAAAATTGTAATTATATATATTTATGATGAAGTATATTCAGTTTTGCCATATTCTTTATGATAGACACTAAAAATCTTGTATGTCATTTTAGCGTCACTACCCGTAACTTGTACTCAACCACCAAAGGTTAGCTGGAAGAAAATGCTATTTAGCATTAAGTTCACCTTTGTACAAACTTCTAGTACAATAAAGAATATACAAACAAACAAATGGTCTTCGATGTAGCCTGTCCATTTATGCACTAGCACAAATGGACAGAGCACTAGTTTTTGCATGCATGTAGGTGTGTGTATGTGTGTGCAAACTGGCAGCAGTGATTGTGTATGTGTGTGTGCGAGCAAACGGACTCACCTAGCTTGCCCTGGCTCCAGGCCGCCTTGCCAACAGCCTGCCAAGGCACACTGGCCTTCGAGGGCACGTACAGCGAGACCAATGTGCTCACCACCTTGTCCACCTCCAAGTCTGTCACCTCCCACAGCATGCCCACCACCATTGGACTGTAAATCCAATTTATTTATAAGTTCATCGTATTCTCACACTGTATTTATAATTAATATCTAAAATGTCGGCGTAAAACCGTTGGTAAAGGAATTAAAAAACTTCGATGATACTACTTTGTTGTAAATGTTCCTGTTTGTTGCAAAACTCACGGCGGTATACCTTTGTACTGCAACACAAGTGTCCGCAACCAAAAAGCTATCCACCATAAAGCTTGAATGTTTGGGTGCGAGTGTAACCGGCGGCCAAAAGCTATTAGTTATAAAGCCGGCGAGTGTCCGCAACTAATAACTGTAAGATTTTTGAGTATATGAGAGCGAGTGTACCTGGCGGCAACAGCATTAGTGCGAGCATACGCTACTGATAAGTAAGTATAGGTCATAGAGTGTGCGCGAGCATACTAAGGATGCCGAAAAAAATATCGATATTTTTCTACATATTTTAATATCGATATATTTAGCCAATATAATATTTAGATATATCGGATATATCGATATGAAATATTCAATATCGAAATCGTATCAAAAACGATATATCTTTCAAATTCGAACCCGGGACAGAGTCCGTACATTCACATGTTTTAATACTTGGCATACGTTTTTTTTTCGAAAACATGTCCAAAAAGAAAATAGCGATATTTTCTCTTCGCTATATCGAGGCCGATATTGATAAAAAAAAAATAATTTTGCAGATTTATCGCGTTTACTTTTTACCCGGGTAAAGGGTTCGAGACGTCGGGAATTAAAATCAAAAATAAACGTGATGAAGTCGTTAAATTAGTTTAATTTATAATGTGTAACCGACATTTATATTTTTAACTGTGGTAGAGCCACGCGGCAGCCGCGGCTGTTGCACGAACGGGCAGGCCCGTCCGGGTAAGTACCACGACCTCACAGAAGACCAGCGTAAAGTGGAAGAATGACAAATACTTTTGCGTCTCGTCTGGTGAGTGAGGTGGCCGGAGCCCAATTTTCAAAAGGTTAAACGCATCTGCAAACCCTCCATCGGGTGTAGGAGATGTCCATGGGCGGTGGTATTCACTTACATCAGGTGAACCGGTTACCTGCCCGCCACGTGCAGGTGGTGGTGGGCGGCGGCGGGCGGCGCGCGGCCGGGCGGCCGCTGCAGCCGCACCGAGCCGCAGCCCGAGAGCAGCGCGGCGCCGCGCACCGCCGCCGCCTCCACGCCCGCGCCGCCCGCGCCGCCCGCCAGCTGGCAGCCGTCGCCGTGCCCGCAGTACCTGCAATCGGTCATACATACACACAGTGGCCATACTAAATGCAATCTCTTCCAGGCAACCTTTGAATGGCATTATTATTAATTAGATGACCCCGTGGCGCAGTTGCCACGGTATCGGCTTCGGCGTCGGGGGTCGTGGGTTCGATTCCCACACGGGACAGCTATTTGTGTGACCCACAGATAGTTGTTTCGCATCTGGGTGTTTGTCCGCGTGAAATTTATGTTTGTAAAACGTCCTTTACAACACAGGATAATATTATCCTAAAGTAAGGGCAGTGTTTAAAAAAATAAAAAATAAAAAAAAATGTACACAAATGAAAGGGTGCGTTGTCACCTTTTAATCGGCCGGCTACTCGCCAGAGGAAACGTGGAAGTTTAACACTTCCAGTTCTGCGAGGCCATGCTATTCCCCGAACGAACCTGGCCATTCGGGCGACAGTTAAATTCCACTGTTATATTGTTGAATAACAATAGTAAAACAAATTTACGTTATGCACAATTTGGCGGCCTCGTCGCTTCGTAGCGATAGCGAAATCTAAGGGCTGGCCTCCACTGAAAGAGCTGATTAACGAATGCGAAGAACAACATAATGTATAGAAGTATACTATATTAAGAACAACATAACGGGGCGGGCTACTAACAGGAACACGTCAGACTCGGTGAGGTAGCGGAGGAAGTCCTCCGGTGGAGTCTCTCCGACGCTCCCCTCCCACTCGGGGCACCAGTACTGCACGAACGACGTCATCCGCTTCTCCATTCGCTCCAGGTTCTTTTCTGTCGAGGAGAAAGAGACAAAGATTAAGAGAATTTGGTGCATAATTAGGAACGGCTATACTAATAAAAACAAAAATGTGTGCGTGTACTTGTGTACGCGCGTGACAAGTTATAATTTTTTGGCAGCATTAAAAAATAGTTTTTAATTTATTTGCGTGAAATAATTGATTACAATAAAATAATAAAACGACTGGAAAGGGATATAAGTAATAAAAATGACAAAATTAGGATAGCGCCATCTACATTCTTTATTGAGAACTGTAACGGGCGAATGTGATTGAGAATACGCTGCCATCTATAAAAATAACTTCAATTATCAAAGAAGGTGATAAGCTTGCATTTAAAATGATAACTGCAGCCCATTGACATTTGCATCACCCGTAGGGTTGCAGATGCGTTGCCACCTTTTAATAGTGTGGGCCCCTAACTTTCGTTATTGTATTTCTAGCTGCTAAAAATGTAAAATAATTTTAATATGTTCATCAAAAAAGAAATCTGGAATCATAGCCGTACCTGGATTAATGATATATCTGCCGACGTCCGTCTTTGACGCTATGTAGCCATCGACGAAATCCTTCTCGTGTATCTTGTACAGGGCGTAAGTGAAGTGTATGTTCTCCATCCTCGACACTGGCTGATGGTGGAATATCGGCAGCATCTCCCACGGAAAGGTGTCCAGCATCTGAAGTGTTTAACATAAAAACTGGTGAAAATAATATTTTTTATCCTCTCAATTCCATTACTAAAAGCTAAACTCCTATTGCGGGATAAGAGAATCTGAAGCAACAGAGTGTATTTATTTAATTATTTATTACACCCACATAATTACATTTAATTATCATATAATTTAACATATAATTACATTTTATATATTTATACCTATTATAGAAATACAAAAAAAATCACTATCTAAATCAAGGATGAGCAAAGCGCTGCCTGCGGGCCGCTTGAGGCCCCTTAAACATGTTTATGCGGCCCGCCAAGCATTTCTAAAATTGAATTTATTTTATCGAATTTCTCCCATCAATATATTGTTATAAAATTAATTATAATAAAATGGTAGTAAATACTGAACCGAAATATTTTTTGTTCGTTTTTCTGTTAATTTCTTGTTTGTTTTTACCTTGCATTAAAATTTGTATATGAAATCTTTACTTTTTTTAATTTTATATTTTTTTATTATAATATTTATTATAAATAAAGTTTCGTAATTTTATTATGTGCGGCCCGCCAAAAAATTTGAAATTTAAATTGGCCCATTGATTAAGAAGGTTGCTCACCCCTGATCTAAATAAAAGTAAACATAATAATTAAAAACCAATAAAACTAATAACTTGTTACAGATATTTACATGGAGATCAATGAGATCATGATTTCATTTTAAGATACTGCGTTGTAAGAAATTTTTCAACCCAGATCAGAAATAATTATCTGCGGGGCACACAAATAGTTGTACCGTGTGGGAATCGAACCCAGATTCCTCGGCACCGAAGCCAATACCTTGCCAATGGCGCCACATTGTCATGTACAATTATATCACCTAAAAATGCCAAAATGCATTTCTTTCAATGGACGTACGACAATTGCTATGCTATGATAGCTCAGTGTCCGGGCGCTCGCCTTTAATTCAATATGCTCGAGCAACCTGAGTTCGATCCGCGGTGCCGGCATCAATGAAGTTTTCAACTTTAAGTGCTGACTTATCACATGCTCCGCGGTGAAGGAAAACATCGTAAGGAAACCTGCATATTTTGGAAACAATTACAAAAAAATATATATTTCGAAGATATGTGAAGTCCGCCAATCCGCAGTGGGGCCGCGTGGTGGACTATGCCCCGATACCCTCTCTATAGAGGAGGCCTTTGCCCAGCAGTGGGACATTTATAGGCTGTTACTATTGTTATATTCTTTTACCTCGTCAACTATTAGTATGACCGGCAACCTCTTGGCCTTTCTCAGTGTTGCCCAATCGTCGTTTTCCTTCACCTGATTGGCAACCTGAGAGAAAGCTTTAATTCCTTCCACCAAACTAAAATGGTGAATAGCCTCGAAGGACTTTGACAAACACTTCAAGCATAACTCGTTGAGGAATCTGAACTGTTTGGCGCAAGTTGTACACTCATTTGTGTTCAGGACGGTCCTTATTTCCTCTGGGTTGCCATGTTCGGTGAGAATTCTTCTTATGCACGATTTGATTTGTTGTGACGTGAAGGATTGGCAGCTGTCTATCAGGTTATAAAGGAGGTTCCTTTGTTTGTTTGTGAGTTTGATAAAGCTGAAATACAAACACAAAACCCATTGATATACATATAAAACACATTATGATATATACTATTGTAGGTAGAGTTTCAAAATACTTCTATTTTTTATATCTATGACTAGCTGTGCCGGCGACTTCGTCCACTTGGAATTATTCTATATATATATTAATAAAAATAAATAGAATTTCTAGAATAAAAAGCCTAAGCCTAAGTTAATCCTTATTACATTAGCTATCTACCACATATGGCAAGCTTATCCCTGTACCTCATACAGAAAGGAGGGACAAGATTTTCACCATTGATGGCGAGACTACTTTCTAGCCCATAAGACACTTGGTATGTAAATTTAATTATTTTACTCACCCCCAGTCTGATATAGTTGCATCCACTAAATTTATTACTTTGTCTCGGAGTGTTTTGTCCAGCAGCTTGCCGGACAAAAGGCAGCTCCATCCACCTATCCATTCTTTGTCCATTATATTGATGACACTCTGTGAATGTACATAGGTGTGATATATTAAAAATTATCATGAGACATTATACCCCACGCCTTACTTTCGTGTTTTATTTATGTCTGTGGAGTGGGATTGTGAAATAAATTAATTTACGAAATATTTAAAATATTTCTTCAATTAATTTCTATCCTGAAATATATGTTTACTATTGACAATGCAAATCAATAAAATATGTAAATAGTTGTATTATGTTGTATAAGTAGTAGAGGAGTTTTCCAAAAGCAAACTATTCAGAACCAAAAATCCAGATCTGGAAAAATTTGTCTGTAAGTCATGCAATTACTGCTTGTTCTTGGTAGGCATTACAAATAACGCGCAGCGCCGTCTATAAATTTACTATCATATTATCTTTTTTTTATTGTTATTTAAATTATTTACTATAATTTATAATGATAGAAATATTTCATCAAAAAGTTCAATGATATTCATAACAGCCATAGGTTTGCATTTGTAATGACAACCTATAAGAGGGATGTCCCAGAAAGCTGTCTAATTAATAGAGCCCAATTATGTATTATATCTTCTTAACATAATGAACTTACCTTCATCCTCAAGTCAATATCTTCTCTCCTACTCCAATAATTCTGCACCAGACGCTTGTTATTGAGAAATTGAGCATTGTCAATTGTTTTATAATTGTCATCAAGTAAAGAGTATAATTCTGTGAAGAGAGGCTTTTCTCCTTCTGTAAAACATTTAGAAAAATCATTCATGAGTCCTGTAATATTCATTTAGTGACTTAGTTTCTGGGGTTGATGGCTTAGGTTATATTAACGACTTGAGTAAGTGGTATGAGGTAAACTCATATACTAAAAGAAACTAGCTTAACGATTCTCGAACTTAAAGATTCATTGTGTTAATTTTATTTTAAAATCCGAAGTTTCCGTAAAGATAGCATCATTCAGTATGGTGTAGTATTGGCATAAACATAAGAAATTGTCACTTAATTTTTTTTTTATTATACATGACAAAGTCACGGTCGTAAAGTTGAGCTGGTATGTAGTGACAGCATTGCCATCTTTCACAATTTTTATCTGGATGATGTAAAACTTTTACATTGATTTTATGATGAAGTTATTTAAATTTAACTTCCTAAACCATAGTGTTAACCATAATGGCACATCAAGACCATAAAGAATCTGCATGTTGTAAAATATGTACACTAGATGGCGCCAAGCATTGCTGAATATGCAAGGAAGAAAGTAGTTAGCAGTCAAAATTTTCACAATCAGGCAATTTTATTTAATAAAGATAAATTATACCTTTTATGATGTTAGCCGGAATTTCAATTGTGAGAGGCCCAATGTTGTTAAAGTCAAAATACTCATTAGTAAAAACGCTCAAATAAATGGAGTCTATTTCACATCTGTACTCATTAAGTGGCTTCAAATTCTCATTAGGATTATATGGTGCAGTTAACTGTACAATAGTCCATTCTGTAAAAGCAACAACATTTTTAAAATTTTTAATTTATTTTATCATCATCACCATTGGTTTAATTTATTTCTTAAGCCTTTTTCAATAATAGATTTTTTGCATGTTATGGCCACGCAACAATCTCCTCTGTTGCACAAATGGGTAGGCCTGTCCAAGGAAGTACCACAACCTCACACACGACGTAAAATATACGTGTTATACTTCTGCATATCATCTGGTGAGTGAATTAAATGGTGCCCAGCCCTTATTAAAAGGTCGCAACGCATATGCAACCTTACCGGTGTGCAAATACCCAAGGATGGCTCTTAACAACTAATATCAGATGAACTGCCCGGTTGCCTGCCACAATCTCACATAAAAAATGGTAATTAGTATTGGAAGTGATAGAGAGCCGTGATAGCTCAGTGTTCGGGCGCTCACCTTTAATTGTGTGCAGTGCAGGCACAAATAAAATTGTTAATTTTAAGTGCTAACTATCATGTCCATAAGCTAAAATTTCCTCAATTTTTTAATAAAGAATTATCACGGTTAAATAATAAGGAGGTAAGGCAAATTAGTTTTTTCATTTATAATTATGTAATATAATAAATAATATTATAATAAATAATATAGTACTAAAGATATTCCATATGTTAAATTTAATCAAAGTATAAAAAATAGGTAAAATAGGTAAATCAAAGTATAATAAAATAATACCTTTCGGAAGTTCCTTGAGTATTTTTAAAAAGTTTTGAGTGTTGTTTTCAGATGTAAATCTCATGTACCGTTTATAAAATGGTAGTTCAACTTCATCCAATTTAAAATTCCTGAGAATTTCTGCAGTCCGATCAGCCTCTTTTGAAATGAATTTGAGGATGTCTTCTTCTGCTTTCGACCTTTGTAATTTGAATGTTATATATAAGGAAATTATACATCAGACATAAATTTATACATATTTTTGTGGACAAAAGAATGATTATAGCATCATAAAACTACCTCTAAATAAAATAAATGATAATGTATGAATGGTATGGCTTTAAAAATTACTCTAAAAATTTTATTAACCCTAGAAGCCCAATCATATTTTGTTGTCAAATTATATGCACATATATCTTACTAAAATTAATATAAAATCAGGAAATGATAATGTATGAATGGTATGGCTTTAAAAATTACTCTAAAAATTTTATTAAAGTTGATTAATTACTTGAAATGGTTAAAATCACATATCGATTTTCTAATTATTACATAAACAATGAATACTTACTTAGGCTTAGGTTTAATTATATCATCATTTGGTTTTAAGTAGTGAGCAATTTTTTGAGCTTTGTCAGCTGTAAAATAATAAATTTTATTATCTTTTTATAATTACGGATATATATATTTCCAGTTTTATATGTTTATATAGGCTTAACAACTGAACAACTACTTGAGTTAGTTGATACAAAAGCACATCTTTAAGTTTGTCAAACAAATATATAATATTAAATGTAGTTTTAAAATATAAAGCTGCTTTTATAAAACAAATTTAATACTAGATTTTATTTGATTGACTAAGTGGGAGTATACATACATAATTATATTTATTACATTAAAGGTAGGTTTTTAAAATCCAATTGCTAGTTGGCCAGCATTTTGGTTTTATGACCTTGGTTTGTGGACTTAAACTCTAGTATTATACGAAATAATAGAATCATCACTTAAAAATACTATATCACATTTATATACAGTGAATGGCAACAAAACATCTTGTTCATTATAAATATGGTTATATTAATAATATTTGCTTGAATAATGTATAAAGACTTCATACTTGGAACCCTCAATTGCTCATCTCTATAAACAGCCAAGGTTCTTAATGTTGCAGATACTGATTCACTTAAATAAAAAGCACAATCTGCCTCTTTGTTATCTGCCAAGCATTCTTCAGCAAAAAGTTTTCGGCCACCTGGAACCATAGTAGTAAAGATTATGCTAGTAGCAGTTGCAGCATAGTAGTGTGTGCAATGTATATAAAAAGAATGTGTATCTATTTACTTTTTTTTATAAATGAAGCTAGCTAAAAACCTAGTTTTCCACTGCCCATGGACATTAAAATACCCCAGATGGTTTATAGGTGTCATTGGTTTTTCAGAAGAAATGGGTTTACAATAAGAAAAACGAGAAATATACTTAATTCTACTTCACAAGGGACTTTTTTGAAGCCCACTTGTAATACTAAACATACTTGCTAAGAGGCCGTTCCATGCCCTCACGAAAACTCCTGGTATATTCATATTAAGGTGAAGGTGCTTATAGCTAACAGCTCAAACTGCCCCACTTAAAATCTCATAGAGGGGACTGCTTAAAAGATAGTCAAACTATTTCAATAGCCATCGAAGTTCCTGGATCCCACCCACATATATCTAAGGTTTCAACAACAAATGGCACAAATACATAGTCTGAACAAAGACTCATATTTGCGCCTTTCCTTCAGCTTCCAACGAGGCCCTAGCCAATGGGCTAGGGCCTCATATCTAAGGAGATGAGACGCCTTCACAAGTAGCATCAAAAACGAGGGCTTTCTTTCTCTCTCATGGGATCCAAGTCAAGCTGTCGGGTTTCTCGCAATCTAAAATAGCGGTTAGGTGGAAGGTAACAGGAGCCCTGCGGATAACATCATTCAGGGTACCGTTGCGGCCAGCAATTTTTTGACAAGTATGCCCGTGGAGACCATATTATTCTAAATTGACAAAACAAGAGCATTAGCGTAGTAGAATTCTTAAAGCAATAAGTAAGCTTTCAACATCAAGTAATGTGCCCAAGTAACAGTACACAATTCAGTCGTAAAAATAAATATTCAGGCTTACTTTGATAGTTTGGTCCACTTGGAGTCGATGGTATGTCTTTTACGTACTTATTTAGTACATTTTTATAGAATGGCTTAGTGAACTCTATTTCATTTGTAAACACGTCAAAATCTTCCATTTCAAGAGTAGTAATTCGTCAGGTCTTACAGTAAAGAAAATGAATTCAAAATTTTGAATGCTCTAGTCAAGTGTTATTCCATAATTATATTTAATTGCTACGATTATTTTGTTTTGAATGTGAATTCATTTACGTTATTTTGAAATTTGAAAACTTCAACGATTGTCACCTACAGATGTAAATAATATCGATTAAAAACATATCGATGTAATCGCGGTAAATCGATATTGGATATTTATTTTAAATAATTAAAAAAAATTAAATAAAAAATGTCAATACATATTTTTAACAATAAAATCTTATTTGAGAAAGCACAGTTGTGTAACTAAATAATATCTGCGTAATCTATAATGTAACATGAAAAACAATCTTATGACACTAATGTCTTAGTTTTACTTACTTACTTGGTTGTGCTTGGCTGGATCAGCGACCCAAAGAGGATCTCGGCCTCCGACACGAAAAGACGCCACTGCTCTCTGTTCTGGGCTGTTTCTTGCCAATTGGCTGATTTGAGAATGTCTTAGTTTTAAAACTATTATTTAATTTTAATATTATTTAAAACCATCCATTTTTCCCGAAATATAACCACAATAACTGATGTTGATTGATGATGAGTTTTTATGAAATTAACTTCTTTAAATCGATATTTCTCGATAGTTTTTCTTTCAGAATTAGCCGTTAAGTACCTAAATTCAAGGTTTCTTCGGTGTCTTTTGAAAGGGTGCGCTTTAACCATGAACTATGTGAAAATTTTAACCATGTGAAATTACTCTATGATGATAGAAGCCGCTTAACACTCGAACACATCAAACAGAGGGTACTCCTAATTTCCATATTTGATGAATATTTATCTGCATAAAATGTTGCTTCAATTAAATTCAATTTTTAATATAATGTCTCCATCAAGGATAGCTTGATGATTAAAACTTTGACTAAACTGAAATCATTCATTGACGTGCATTGTTCGCCCTGAAGAATAACCACAAATGAAGTTTTTTACTAATATATGTATTATATCAATTATAACTTTGTACTACTTTTTTCTCTATTATTTATTAGTATAATTTTAACGATTTTTAATATTTTGGGAATATGTTTGAATAATCATGCAAAAAATGACGATATATCGATATCCTTAGTTATTGATACAGTTTAAAAATATGGAAAGATTCTTTTGGCGTGTTAGGGAAAAATGATGTGAGTAAATTACGATGCGCGCGCACACCGTCATGAAAAACCGACACCCTGAAGTTAGCTAGACATCTACGTATGTTTGCATGAGAAGTGAACGGAACCCACCGTTTGGGGACCCACTGGATAACACTACACACACAGTTAGTGTAGCAACAAACACATTACTCCGCCCTCACCTCAGAGCACGGCGATTTTTTTTTGGCTGGATGAACCACAGTTCTCAAGCAATTTTCTCTCTTTGTTCTTAATAACAAATTGATAAGTCCTTTACAATCTGGATTTAGACCTGGCCACAGTACCACCACAGCCCTCCTTAAAGTGACTGGCGATATTAGGTCAGGTATGGAAACGAATGCCTTTAATGCCGTCAGTCACGACATCCTATTAGCAATCCTGTCTTATTTAATGGTTTCCGAGGAAGCACTGGAATGGTTTTCATCATATCTTCGAGGGCGCCAGCAGGCAGTCATTATTGATGAATTGTCATCTAGCTGGCTCAATGTTGCGAGTGGTGTTGCCCTCAAGGCGGTATTCTCTCTCCTATTTTATTTTCTGTTTTTATTAATTTTATCACTCTCGAACTTCAATGTGCGTATCATCTTTACGCCGATGATCTGCAGCTGTACGCTCAGGCCACCACTGATAGGCTCCCAGAAATAATCGATATTATAAACCAGGACTTAGCCGCTATTAAAAAGTGGTCAGACAGGTTTGGTTTAACCGTCAATCCAGCCAAGTGTCAAGCCACCGTAGTTGGGAGCTCCCGTATCATATGTAAAGTGGACCTGAGTAAACACCCGCATATAACTTTCTACAGTTCTCGCATACCTATCGGTCGTAATGTGAAAAATCTCGGCTTGCACATTGACATGACGCTCAGCTGGAATGCTCAGGTAGGTAGCGTCTGTCAAAAAGTCTCAGGGGTCCTACGGTGTCTATATCGGCTCAAAAATTTCTTGCCGGCTAAAACGAAGGAATTGCTCGTGCAGGCTTTAATTTTCCCATTAATCGACTATGGTGACGTGTGCTACTTCGACCTGAATGCATATCAACTCAATAAACTCGACCGACTTCTGAATAACTCCATTCGACTCGTTTTCAATCTTCGCAAGTATGACCATGTATCTACTTAACGTGCTCAACTTCAGTGGCTACCCATACGTCAACGACGCTCTCTAAGAGCACTGACTACTCTATACTCTTTCCTGAACTCTTCTTCTTCTTTTCCGACTTACTTATCCCATCATTTCCAATATCTATGTGCTGTTAGCAATAAAAACCTTCGCTCCTCGCATAATCGTCTTCTCGTGTGTCCTCCTCACCGTTCTGATTTCATGCATTCTTCCTTCTTTATTCAGTCTATCCTTCTGTGGAATGAGCTACCTCTCAAAATCAAGTTGGCTAAAAGTCGCTTTGTATTTAAAAAAAAGCACGTGAGCACATCCTCAAAAACTTGTCGGCAGGTCAACTCCATCGTTAATTGTCAGAATTTATTTATGTATATGTATATATGTATTTATAATTGTATGTATACATTTATTTATGTATGTATTTATGATTTTATGTATATATTTAGTAAGATATGTATGTATTAATATGTATGTACATATACCTGGTAGTATTTATTATATTTGTACTATAATTAACATGTGTATTTACTTTCATTTACAACAGTTTATATTTTAACAGTGTTTTCTTTTTATTTATTTCTTTTGACATCTTTCTGTGCACCTACCGAATCTTCTCTGTACCACCCCAAGGTTGACTGGGAGATAATGCCTGTGGCATTAAGTCCGCCTCTGTACAGCTTGTGCATAAAGTATAAATAAATAAATAAACCACTGTTGGCCTTAGGGGCTTTCACAGATGTGACTGAACCTCGGCGTATTATTATTATGCGTTATGGTGACTAAGCTCGAGGGTTCCCGAGGGAGCCTCGACTCGGGCCCTCACGCTATTATTGTTACCGGTTTGGGAGGCTGCCAAGCTCTTAGGGCACTTTGGCGGACGCTGCATGGAGTGACCAGGCTCAAGGGTCCCCGAGAGGGCCGGATCTCGGCTCGATCAGTAGCTATTATCTGACTGGGAGCACGGCGAGACCACCACAAGGCGTACACAAGGTACATCCGCGTTCCAGGGCGGTTCTTACCGCCCCCAGCCACCGATTAGCTAAAAACACAGTCGTCCCTTAGATGACTGTCACGGGACTGAAAGCACACACATCAGTTAATACAAGATACTACACTGAATTTTTGTCTTTTGGTCTTTTGTGAAGCCGTGGTACTTCCCCGAATTGCCCATCATTAGTGTTTCCCACACAGCAGAAGGTTCTATATGCGCTCTGTTATTTAAAATATCTGCTCTTCGCGCACTTGAATGCTTATCAACATATTCAGTCTTGATTTCTAATTAGTTTGTATTCATAGCACAAAATCAGGATTTTGTGCTATGAATACAAACTGAATTTTTGCGTAGTTGCATCAGGATGCAACTACGCATAAATTCGGCCTAAATAATTGAGCGACCAACACTCACTTACCTCATAGAGTAAACAGAAAAAATATTTCTTTTCATTTATTAGGAATACAGTTATAATTCGTTTATTGCGCATTTTTATTAATTTAATAACGAGCAAGACCGAGAAACAGTAGTTACGTAATTAAATTTTTAATTATATTATGTAAACCATAAATATATTAAATTGTTAAAGATATGAATGAATAATAGCGCTCACAATGAATACTTTACATCAATGTCCTTAAAGGATAAACTGCGCACAAACTAAGTACGCGTCATATCTACTTCACTTAATACATATAGGTATGATTGACGTAATATATTTTATAGAATAATTAAAGACAAAACGATTGTTTTTTTTTAATAGTTTACTCTTAAATTATAATTCATCTTTTTATGTTAAGATATTGTTTATTATCGTTTAAAGTTAATTGGAAAAGTTTTAATACACTTAGCTGGCGATAAGTTAAAGTTATAAAATCTTTTCTAGCGATCTAGTTATATATAAGATCATTAAAACAAAATACATTCCAAACGATTTACACCTACATATAGCCTCCGCGTAGAAACCTGTCATAGGAATTTGCATATTCTTTGTGTTTTTCAACCGTCTTTGTCATATTTGAACAGTATTTACAATGTAAACATATTTCTTAGAATGTGCAAAATAATCCCAGTTACAGATTCACTGGTCACTTTCTAGATCGTTGGGACTTACTACCCAACCCTTTCCACACGAAATACAAATACAAAGCTGATACTTAAGGGATTTGTTAAGTTTAAAAATAGGTGTGTTATGTGTGTACATAGCCTTGTCATCGACCTTAAATCAAGTTGTTTGAGGAATTTATATCGTTTTAATACCATTACTACACCAAAGGCGCGGAGGCTGCTCGTCTAATCTTAATTAACTTTCTGAATATATTCCACATCAACTTTTTAAGTGCTGAAAGATACTGGGCAATCATAATTTCCAAGTATTTAACACACCAGTTTATAATTGACTCTTACAAGAGCAATTCATACAAAAAATTTACAATTTCGGAATTTGAACTATTTCGTTAGAGCGACTTCGTAGTTAAAGCTTGATTGTTTTTGGATTGTTCTAATTACGATAAGAGATAAACTAAACTGGGTTACGCGTCATGATAAACAGTAAAAATATGAAAGAGCATTGAACTCTTCTTTAGTACTGTCGTAATAATACGATTTCTAAAGTACGAAATAACATATTAATATTGCTTATTAGGTAGGTACATGATCCTTTTCTTTCGCTCCCAATAATCAAA